GGAGGGAGGGAGGAAGGAAGGAAGGAAGACTCTAAGCTAGTCAGGGCCTGAAAGATGGCTTAGCAGGTTAAGGTGCTTGCTGCCAAACTTGATGACCTACCTTAGTTCCGACCCTGGGAATCACATGGTAGAAAGAGAGAACCAACTCCAGCAAACTGTATGCTGACCTCCACATTACTCCCTTACAGTAAATAAATAAATGTAATTTTAAAATTAAAAAAACAACTAGCCAGTTATAGCTTGTGCATACCTATAATCTCAGCACTTGGGAGGTTGAGGCAGGAGGATCAGGAGTTCAAGATCATCTTTAGCTACATGGAATTTTGAGGCCAGCCTGAGCTACACTGAGATCCTATCTTAAAACAAAATAAAACAAAACAACAAAAGAAATAGCTAATAAACATAAGAACTATTAAAAAAAAAACCCAAAGAAAGACATTCAAATGATACAAGTTTTGCTTTTATAACTGGCAAAAATAAAAAAGAAAGAACATCAATATTCAATGTAGGCTTTATTGTAGACTGCAAATATTAACTACAGAAATGTTGTATTACTATAGCATTTCTAGGTGACAGTTTGACAAGATATATGTGAAAAAGTTTAAAAAAAAAAAAAAAGATTATTCCCTGAACATCACAATGGCTCCATTAAAAACGCATACTATGGATCCAGGCATGGTGGCTCACGCCTTTAATCCCAGCACTCAGGAGGCAGAGGCAGGTGGATCTCTGTGAGTTCAAGGCCAGTCTGGTCTACAAAGTGAGTTCCAGGCCAGCTGGGGCTACAGGGAGACCCTGTATCAAAAAGACCAAAAAAACAAAAAAAAACCAAAAAAGCATACTATGGAAATAAGTTTCAACCATAGAGATGAGTGAAAACAAAATCTAAAAGAATGTTAGAAACATATTCTAACATATTTTGATGCAGACAATATACTTGTACACATAAGAAATATTAAAAAATTAAGAAAGTTTAAATTTTACTTTGAACATTATAGATGTTTTTACAGTCTGAATTTTTTAAGGCCCATTATCGTATTTTAAAAGTTACTAGAAACATAGTGTTAGTAAAATATTCTCAAAGTAGTTATTAAATATTTTAAAGATTTAAATAAGTATAACACTGCATTATTCATCTATTAATAGTCCATCTTCAAAGAAGGTATATGATTTTTTTGTTGTTTTTTGTGTTTTGAGATAGGGTCTCCCTGTAGCCCCAGCTGGCCTGGAATTTGCTATGTAGACCAGACTGGCCTCATTCCCTCAGAGATCTGCCTGCCCTGCCTCTGAACTGGGATTAAAGGCATATACCACCATATCCAGCAGGTATACTTCTGGGTGATAAAATTAAAGACTTTCACACTATGAACCAATGAACTATGAACTTATACTCCCTAAATTGTTGAAGAAATAGCAGTCTTTCAAAATTGATATGTAACTAACACTTCAGTCTTCTGTTCAATAGCCTTTTGAAAAAAAATATTTTAATCTACAAAAGGGAGTTGGAGAGACACTTGGCAGCCAAGAGCTCCTGGGCTCTTGCAGAGGACCCAGGTTAAGTTCCCAGCACCTGCATGGTGGCTAATACCTGCCCTTAGCTCCAGTTCCAAAAGATCTGAAGTCTTCTTCTTGCCTCTGTAGGCAACAGGCACACACATGGTGCACATACATACATGCAGGAAAAACACTCATGCACATAAAATAAAAATGTTTTTTGTTTTTATTAACAACAACAACAACAACAACAAATTAGTTGGGTGTGGTGGTGGCACAAGAGTTTAGACCCAGCACTCTGGAGGCAGAAGCAGGAGGATCTCTGTGAGATCAAGACCTGGTCTACATAGTAAGTTCCAGGCCAGCTGGGGCTACAGGAAAACACTGCCTCAAACAGACCAAAAAAAAAAAGGCACGTGGTATCTTTAAAAAAAAGTCTATAAATCCTTTGATTTTACGTTTTTATTTTCAGACATCATATTGTAAATTGCAACAAAATATAAAATAAAAAAATCCTACATGATTCCAATCCCCAAGAAGTTCAAAATAAACTCTACACATTACAGCATACTGGAGTTAAGAAGAAAATATATAAAGAAAAAACTTGCTTTTTCGGTCTTAGAAAATCTTCCCCAAATCTCTAACTATTGGAATGTTGCTGCTAATGCCGTCTCCTTCCTTCAAGTACTTTATCCTCTGGCTCTTAGGACTCCACAGTCTTTGGGACACCTTTTTCAGTCATTTTATTTTCTGCCGGGAATCCCTCATGCACTCTACCACGGGGCTACATCCCCAGCATTCTTTTCCTTGGAACGTCCTGTGCTTGACAGCCAAAAAGTGGGGGATCTCATGCATGCACCTTGGCTTCTCAGAGTTCATTCTCTCCTGGATGACTTTTTCTTGGCTTCATGGGTTTGGGAATTCTCCACTTAACAATATTCTCTATTTTTGCACTGATCTCCCCTGGAATCACAGATTCTTCATATAATTTCAAACTTAACATGACCAAAATATAACTATTTTCTTTCCTCCAACCTTCTTCAAGGTGCCCAAGTCAAAAATTCAGTTGTCTCAATTCTTCCTTTGCCCTCCTTTACATCTAACCCCTCAGCTTTGGAACCACATCTGATGGTTAGGGCAGGAATCTGAGGGATAAGGCACTCAGAAGCTGTGAGCTATGGGAAGGCATCTGTGTGATATTGGCAGGCCCCAAGTTTGAGACTGTGGTAAAATAAAGTATAGCTTGCAGCGGGATCTGGAGGCAGAAGCTATAGGCATGAGAACAGAACGGGAAGTTGTTCCCATGACACTGTGGACCTTGAATCTTTGGCTTCTGATTCATTACTGAGAAAGTTGCTCTGGATTATGAAAACGTGAGGAGGGCCAACCAGAAGGAAGTACTACAGGCTGAGAAGCCGTGAAGAAACTAAATAGTGCGCCTCCATTCTCAGCCGGCATCCCACTCCCCGCAGCTGCTTGTGGACCAGGTCTGGCACCTCCTGATGGGATCCAAGTAGCTACTTCTGGCCCCTTGCTGGGCTCACCCACCTTCATCTTCCCCAAAGTCGCCCATCAGACGATTTTGGAGCCAGGTGCTCTTGCTCCCCTGCCTTCTCAAAGCACTTTGTTTCAACTTCATTCTTAAGGGCTGGAGCCCATGCCCTACTATACCCGGGGCACACCTCTGAACTGAGCAGTAGCATCTGCTAGCTTTGTGAGATGATGCTCTCAGGTTCTTGAAGGCTCAGTTCTGCTTCACTTAAAGCACTGGAGACCAAAGACAGACCACTCAATATCACCTTATAAATAAAGATGAAATAATTTCTTAAAAAAAAAAAAAAACATAGCCGGGTGTGGTGGCGCTCGCCTTTAATCCCAGCACTCGGGAGGCAGAGGCAGGCGGATCTCTGTGAGTTCAAGGCCAGCCTGGTCTACATAGTGAGTTCCAGGACAGCTGGGGCTACAGGGAGACCCTGTCTCAAAAAGACAAAAAAAACAAAAACAAAAACAAAAAACAAATTACAGGACCCACACCTGGTATCTGAAAAGGTAAAGAACTGGTGGATGTGAGGGTTAAAAACCCTCCTACACTTGTTGACAAAGTGCTGTGAAGTAGAGTGAGGTTGGAGAGGAATCTGAACGGCAGGCTGATAGACTAGCACACCTCTTGGGCTTATTCAGGCTTCAATGCCTTTGCTTTGGCCTAGAATGTTCTTCCCACATCTTAAAGTTTTCTTGCTTTTTTCTTTTTTCTCATTTTCCAGCTGTGAGCTGAAATGTACATTTCCAGAGAAGCAGCTATAACTGCTCAACTGAAGCAGCCCCCCGGACCCTCTATTCTGGTTTTCTGCAGGATATTTACTAATAGCCTGCTCTCAGCTAACTGTCCTCTGAAGGACACTGTAAACCCCAGACCAATGTTCCCTCATTACTCTCTAAGTTCTGGGAATGCAAACATTTATATTACCTTCAGAAAGACAGTAGGAAGATGGTACCTTAAGTATAAAAATAATTGCAAAATGCATTTGAAAGTAAAAGTATTTTCTTACTTTTATCCCCAAATTCCACTCTCTTAATATACAGAGCTATATGTTTGAGGGAAGTATTTATCAATGTGGTAATTATATATTTTATTTAATACCATTATAATTAATATAGCTTAGAAACTGCTTTTTTTTTTTTTTAAATTGAGTCGGATCTCATGTAACCCAGTTGACCTCAAATTTGCTGTGCAGTCAAGGATGATTTCGTACTTCTGATCCTTTTCCCTTGGCCTCCAGGGTACTGGAATTACATGCATGTGCCAGCCACACACCTGATTTATGCTGTGCTGATAATGGAACCCAGGGCTCCATGTGTACTAGACAAGCACCAACTGAACTACATTCCCAGTCCTTGATAATCTTTAGGCACAAAAAAGAGAAAAGTAAGAACGAATTAAATTCTTACATTATCCTGAATGATACTCTCCCTCCGACCCCACCCCATTTTGAGATAGGGTCTGCCTATGTTGCCTAAACTGGTTTGAGCTTGTGGGTTTAAGAGATCCTCCCAATTCGGCCTCCTGAGTAGCTGGGACCACAGGCAGACCCTACCATGTAGAAGTTCTCTTAAGAGAAAATTACAAAACATCTTATTGTTAGTGCTGACTTTTTGTCTAGGGATGAGTAAAGTGATAACTGGTTTATTGTGCAGATATATCAGTGTTTAATTTGATTTAGATAATCTACTTTTAAGTCCTATTCTATTAGGTTTTTTTTTTTCCTTTATGAATTAGTTTAGGTGAATATTTTTAGTATCTCTTCCTGGTAAAGGAAATTACTCTATCCATGTCTCTCCCTCCTGTGGAAAGATACAGTCTATCAATGGAATAATTCTAGTTTTAGAACACCTTCTGTGAAAACAAGCAAGGCGCCTGTTCTCTGAGGAGCAACCCCTTTACACAGAGCCTCTTGCTCATTTAGTCACTGGTGGCTTACCTTCTGGAGGCCTTCATGGATGAGGTGACCTAAGTCATCTATACTCCTTCCTAACTGCTTAGATAAATACGTGAAGATTGCATCTTCTTTAGGTAGCAGAGGGGCAGAAAGATTAACTCTCTCTTGTACTCCCTAAAGTAGAAAATGATTTGAAAAACACAGTAAGATATTACAGGACCTAAGACTGTAAGTAATCAGGTATCTTGTAGCATTTATTTTAAAGTATTTTTAAGAAATAGGGCTGGAGAGGTGGCACAGTTGTTAAAGACTTACAACCAAAAAGGTAAGAAAAAGGAAATGTCTATAAGATTACAAAGATGTTTGGGAGGAAAGAAAAAAATTAATTTTTAATAGCATGAGGAAGGAAGGAAGGAAGGAAGGAAGGAAGGAAGGAAGGAAGGAAGGAAGGAAGGAAGGAAGGAAGGAAGGAAGGAAGGAAGGAAGGGGAAGGGAAGGAGTCTCCAAAGCTAACGTTTCTACTTACTCGTAAGTGCTGAAATGCATGTATGCTATATGGAAGTTCTAGAATCTTGGTGCAGTCAGGCTGCTCCGGGTCTGCAGGGACAGGAGACTCTGTGTCGATATGATCCTCAGGGCTAAATCATAAAGCAGGAAGCAACAAAAGAATGAGAGGGAGGAGCAGTGTTTTGAGAAATGTCAAATTTCCTCATATTCTCCCTGCATCGCAACTTTAAGACTTAGAAAACAAGAGTAGTTAGGATGGTGGGCTTCTAAAAACCAACACAATAACAAGACTGCTCAGTTCTTTCTAGAAATGCTAAACCACTCAATTTCCACTGAAGGCCTCAATATTTTTACTACTTATCTTAAAATACTTTTTTCCATAGTAGATGGAAACTTTTATATTATTTGATCAATTCTGAGAAATGTTTTCACATATTTATTGGTTATTTATATTTTTTACTGATAATTATCTACTGTGGTATTAAATATATTTAAACAACATGCAGGATTTCTACATACATTTATGTATTTTGAACTTTGAAATTTCAATAACCTCATCAGTAACTGAAACTTAACTCTTATTTCTTCCTGATTTTAGGGAAAGAACTTTGCTTTTGGAAGGAGAATCACTTTACCTGATGTCCTTGCTCTCCAAAGTTATGTATGTGCCATCATACAGGTCCAGGTCCCCTAAAGGCACCTTGGCTTTGATGCAGTCTGGATCTTCTTTATTATGTCTCTGCTCCAGTCCTGTGTCCCTATCCTCATTCTCCTCTATGTGAATTTTTTGAGCGACTAATTGCTTCTGTTGACAAGAAAAGGAAAACAGAATGGGGGCCAGGGTAAGGGTGCTTGCTGCCAAGCCTGATCACCTGAGTTTCATCCTTCATGAAGTGACTCCCACAAGTTGTCCTCTAACCTCACAAAAGCTTAGACACACACACACACACACACACACACACACACACACACACACACACACACACAGAGTTAAAAGAAAGAAATGAGAATGAATTCCTTTAATATTTCATCTTTCATCCACTGAAAACAAAGGCGAATTAATGAGTATGGAACTGGTCAGAAAATCTACGATGGAAGACAAGGACCCTGAAAATGCTCTTAGTTAACCTAACATACATTAGCCTCTAAAATAAAATTAAAATTAAAAATTCTTTGTATAAATGGCATTATATACAACTTTATACACTTAACTCTGCTTTTGAGATTTGCCTACATCAGTCACATTGCTACATTTCCATGTTAATATATGCATAAATATATCAATTTCCTTGTCAATATTTAAGTTGCTTCTTTGAAGTTTTTTCTTTACTTGAAAAGTAAACAAGCAGGTGGGTGCGATGGTACAGAGCTGCCTGATTCTGATCCACACCTGGCCTCAGAGAAGGGTCTTTTTGTAGGAGATGGTGATTAACACAGAAACTCCCAACTGGTCAAAGTACAGCAAGTAAGAGACTGGAGTGTTCAGCCCTAAATGGGACATCTATATCACATTCACCACACGCTCAGAGATTATCACAGAAGACAGGGAAGAAAACTGCTAAGAGCCAGAGGTGGTAGACAACTGCAGTGAGACTGTTCTCCAGACATGACAGGGTCATTGCACTCATGAACTCACAGGGGCTGTGAATGCATGCACAAGACTTCTGTAAGATCAGGACAGACAGAGTCCTGGCAAGGAGGGGGAGGGGGTCAGGAAGCCCTACCCCTAGCTGAAGAGCTATTGGCAATTGCTGGCCTCCTCTCCGGTGGATGGGCCTAAACACCTGCACATACTGGCAGCGTTAAGTGGACTCAGTGGGTTTAGAAAGAGTCCATGAAGTTGGGAGGGGAGAGTGAGGGTGGGGAATGATAGAAGGAGCTGGAGGGGGTGGGACATGAATTTCATCAAAACATATTCACATATGAAATTATCAAAAAAATTTAAAAATATTAAAAATACAGTATTCTAGTTATTTCCTAATATGCACATACAGGAGTGTTAGCAGGAATATATGTGATTAACTAGGATATACATTTTCAATTTTATTTTTTTCTTACTTAGAGAATACTTTATTTCGGTTGTATTTTTAACTTTTTTAGTGTGTGTGTGTACGCAAACAAGTATGCCATGGCATGTATGTAATCAGAGAACAACATGTAGGAGTTGGGTCTCTCCTTCCACCATGTGGGTTATGGGGACTGAACTCAGGCCATTAGGCTTAGTGGCAGGCACCTTTACTCACTGAGCCATCTCATCAGGCCTCAGTTAGATTTAAACACAATCTGTTCTTCACAGTGATTATAACAATTACAGTTCTACCAGCAGATCATAACAGAATTCATCCAGAATTTTAATTTGATGCTACTCTGATGAGTATGACATACCATCATGTCATAACCATTGTTGGAGATCACATTATTGTGACAGACTGTGTCACTATTCACTGATACCCTGGTCCCTCCTTATGAGACTATTTCCCAGTATTGCATGCAATATGACTTCCTTTGACCAAGGTGATAATGAAAAGTCCCATATGGCCCTTTTATAGGGAAGCTTTTGTAGAATCAATATATATTTCACTGCAGCTACTGAGAACATCTTTTTCCCTGGCTACTGATGAGATGGTTCTACAATGACAAGTTACTCTGTCAGCCTGGGAGCTGCCTTATGATCAGAGAGATGGTACAGAGCCCAAAAGCCAGCCCCAAATGACTGTTTTAGTCATTAAGTTTCTTTGGATTCAGTCTGGTGAGATGATATATGCCTACAATCCCAACATTTGGGAGGTAAAGACAGGAGGATTAGAACTTCAATGACAGCCTCAAACTGTAAGCAAAGTTTGAGGTTAGCCTGGGCTACAGAAGACTGCCTCAAAAAGCAAAACAACAATGAAAAATTTAAATCTTTAAACAAAGAGATTGAGGAAGACATCAGAAGATGGAAGGACCTCCCATGCTCATGGATTGGAAGAATTAATATTGTGAAAATGACCATCCTACCAAAAGTCATATATAGATTCAACGCAATGTCAATCAAAATCCCCATGACATTTTTCACAGAATTGGAAAAAACTATCCTAAGATTCATATGGAAGCACAAAAGACCTCGGATACGCAAAACAAGCCTGAGCACTAAGAGCAAAGCCCGGGGGGATTACTATACCAGATTTCAAGCTGTATTACAGAGCTATAGTCATAAAAACAACATGGTACTGGCATAAAAATAGACCCATAGACTAATGGAACAAAATTGAAGACCCAAATATGAGTCAATGCAATTTCAGCCACCTGATATTTGACAAAGGAGCCAAGAAGATTCACTGGAGGAAAGACGGCATGTTCAGCAAATGGTGCTGGCAAAACTGGATCTCCACTTGTAGAAGAATGAAACTAAACCCCTATCTTTCACCCTGCAATTCCAAATGGCTCAAAGACCTCAATGTAAAGCCTGAAACTCTGAAACTCTTAGAAGAAAACATTGGGAAAAACCTACAAGATATAGGCATAGGAAAGGATTTTCTAAACAGGACATCAATTGCTCAGGAAACAAGGGCAAGAATTAACAAATGGGACCTCATTAAACTATAAAGCTTCTGGACATCAAAGGAGGCAACCAAGGAAACAAAAAGAAAATCTACAGAATGGGAGAAAATCTTCACCAGTGACACATCCGACAGAGTTTAATAACCAGAATATATAACGAACTCAAAAAACAGAGAACCAAGACAAGAAGCAACCCAATTAAAAGATGGGCTAAGGAGCTGAACAGAGAGTTCTCAAAAGAAGAAGTAAAGATGGCTATGAAACATCTTAAAAGA